TTGGCTGAAACTTTGGCACTGGAAATGAAGACTTCCGCGCGTCTGTTTCCTCGCGTCTAAAACCATTGAACTAGTAATTTATTGAAAAAGAAGACCAGAATTTCAAATAGTTTTACAAATCTTTCTAACATATTCAAATTCCTCGTTATGCATGGCATTATAAATTCTTATTTTTAAGGACAGAATGAAATGTTTGTGGCACAGAGCTCTGAGTTTGATAACATGATGCTTTACGGCAAGACTGCATGTTTTTCTTCTATCTTCCCATAACTTGATGCGTGATATGCTTAATAAACATTGTGTTTAAATACCTATATAGTTCAATTAATTTAAATTTAGCATAATTAACTGAAATCTACTTCATCTTCATCTTCCATCACCGCTTCTCCTTTCGGGTCGCAGAGGCAGACGCGTCAGGCAGAGCTTCCAACGTTCCCGATCCTGTGCCAGAGTCTGAGCTTTGGCAGAAGACAACTGGAGTCTGGAACAGACTCCTTCCATACATTTGCATGAGGTTAATCGTGGCCGCCCTTTGGGCCTTCTGCCGGTCGGACTTGCAAGGAACTGTTGCTTAGTCTTCCTTATTGGAGGCATTCGCAACACATGCCCGAACCATCGCAGCTGTGATCTCTCAATCTGGAGAAGCAAAGGCTATATGCCAAGGTTTTTCTGGATATCAGTATTCCGGACCATGTCGAGACGCGCAAAGCCAGCGACTCTTCTGGGAAAACCCATTTCAGTAATTTGTACCCAGGTTCGAAGTTTTTCAGTCATGGTATATGATTCATGACCGTAGGTAAGTATGGAGATAAAGATCGACTTGAACATTGAGAGCTTAGTTTTCAGACTGAGCTGTGCTTTAGTCACAATGGGACGGGCTAGTTCACGCACAACGCCGCTGGCTACACCAATTCGCCGGTCGACTTCTTCCTCCAACTTTCCATCACTAGTAAATATAGTTCCGAGGTACTTGAACTTTTCCACCTGCTCCACTGCCTCTCTGTCAATCTGAAGGAAGCAACGGACAGGAGAATAAGAAAGCACTAGGATTTTCGTTTTAGGTGCGTTCACACGCACGCCGGTCACGTCGCACTCGGCTGCGAACCTTTCTAAGAAGCACTGGAGATCAGTTTCAGAAGATGCTAAT